TGAGCCCAAAAGTTGATTAATTTGGCGTGATTTTCATAGTACACATACACACATACATACATACATACATATGTATATATAATTATATATATCTGCAAAGCATATTATATATTAGCCATGGCAATGCTGCTAAAATTCATACAGATATGAGTTTGTCTCTCCCACTTAATCAATATACAATAATTTATGCAAAACACTTTCATATATTTATTTGCAATTATAATTTAGTATTTAGCTGCTATTATACCTTGATTACTACAAATGAATGTGTATAATAAAAATATTCAATATTTAAACATCAGAAACTTTTCTTACTATCTGCCACTTGGAATCCACATCCGAAATAATTATGCAACGAACCTAATAAAACATCAACACTCAAGTTATTCAAGAAAATATTTGTTGTATGCATATGCTCAAATTTCTGTTGTAGCTGACATATATTATCATCAATTGATGCTGTCATTTAATATCTCAAAATAAATGTATTTATTCGACTGTCATTTCGAAAGACTTGTCTACTTTAATATTTGATGTGCTTATGTAATTTGACCGATGAAAATTATTACGTCTACTTCTGTAACTAATCCAACTAGCAACAGAAAATCACATTTTCATTGCTTTCCCAGCCTGGAGATTTTCAATTAATTTAAGTGCTAAATATGCAGGCAGTGCCAGCAAGTCTCAGGTCTGCAGGCAGCAATAAAAATCAGATTGCGACGACAGCAAGTGGGACATAAGATAAGCAATTCGGTTAACGTTCACAATAGTCATAATATTTGCTATCTATGTGTAAAGTAGGCTACTAAAAAACAGCGGAGAGAAAACAAAAGTCAAATAAAACCGCAAGTTTGAGTTAAGTAAATTAATATTTACGAGAGGAGCAGCACACAGATTTAAGATTTAAGATTGTGCTCCGTATAAAGCACAAGGACTAACAACTGTTCTAGTGTGTACCCCACACACACAGGCACACATAAGCACACACATATGTCTGCCAGCACTCGTAAATTTCGAGCACACCAAAAAGTAAACAATAAAACTTTTTGTAAAGGAAGAAAATGTTCTTACTCAAGATTTGATGCTGAATGGCCATAAAAGAGGAAAACGAAATAGAACAGCCAGTAAATGGATATTCTGGAAAAATACGTACTACCAGGGACATAAAATTTTACGCAAATGCAGAAAATAAATTGAAGAATCTACAAAAAATTGTAGACGTACACACGATTCTGTTTATTGCTTATTTTTGGAGACAACGTAAAAAAAAAAAAAAAACAAATTGCCTTTTTTTTTTTTTAGAAACACAAATATATCTCGCCCGTGATTTCGCGTTCGCAAACTATTAAAAGAAAATGTTATATTTAAAATTACAAGTTTTGTGTTTTGTCTAATTTTCATGGCAAAACTCACGAATTTTGCTTCGTAGTTCGAGAATCTCCGCCGCTTCATCAAAAGGATTCGGGTCGTTATTCAGCTCTTTCTCCGCTGCCGCCGCAGCCCTACCTTCGGCGTCTTCTTCAGGTGTCTCCTTTGTCTCCTCTGAATTTTCTGTCTGATTGGCCGGCTCTCCCTGATCTGCCTGGTCTTCCTGATCTGCCGCCTCTGGCTGCTCTGCGAGCAAGCTTAAAATGAGCAGCAAATAGAATGTTAACTGAACTGGGCGCATGGCTAGAAACGTTTGCCACACTTTTTTTTAGCCTCAACAAGAAAAAAAAAACACCTAGCGAGAAGTTTTCGGTCAAGCCTCATGGTTTAATAGAGTTAATCTATTTTGCATGCGAATTGAACAGTCGATTGCACTCATACATTGACACACACTGATTGGTTTTATCGTGGCGCACGTAGCCAGGCTTGCAGCCGCAGTCCAGATTACAGGTGTAGGAGCAGCGATTGTCGGAGTAATACGGCACCGAGCAGCTCTCCTCGTAGCAGGGCAGACAGACAAGCACCTCGTTCTCGCCACAAGCTGCAAGAAATCCCAAACTGTTGCACTTGCACTCGCACACTCACACAGATTACACGCTTACGTACGTTTGCCAGGTGGAGCTGCCAGCAAGCAGCTGAGCAGCGACGCAAATGCAAATAACAACATGACGCAACAGCGTGCGACAGCACTACAGCAGCAAACTGTGCCCCACAGCGCACTACGGCTAACGGAGCGCTCGCTCTTCACGCCCGTTAAGCACGGCGAATTGTGTGTTATGGCAATTAGCCAAGTTTACTTTGGCTCTGCTGCTACTCTTTATCCCGGCTTGTTTACAGGGTATACAAAAGGTACGGAACTGCCGCGCTTTTCCTTAACTCATATTAGCGATTGAGCACTTGAGGCAAGGGTATGACTATGATGTAAGCGGGCATGCCTGACTTGTAGATACCCATTGCTTATAAAACTAAATAATAATTGGGGAAGAGAAGAGGAACAGCCCTGAATCGACCTGAATATATCTATAATATAATTTATATAAAATATTTATATTCAGAAGAGAAAAATCTATGAATCGACATATATAAATCCATAAAATAATTTGTATAACATATTCATCAATATTTCGATCTTGCGTAAGTTCCCCAGTTAATGATTATAATCTATATTAACATTTAAATTGAAAGCCTTAATTTTGATAGACTTTTAGGATAGACTTTTTACTTAAGGCAAGCAAGCAAGGTAAGCTCATTTATATTTGTGCTTTATATCCCTTGAAGATTTTTTTAAAAGTCATATCAAGTTTATAGTACACATGTATTTCTAACAGAGCTGGAAGTTTGTATTAATAAATTTGGTCTTTTATTTGACAAATAAATATATCTCTCTATATATCCCAAACGTTATAATAAATATAGAGAGATTTATTCTACTGCGAAAAAAGTCAAAGGAATGAAACGTCTCCTAAAGCTCTAAAAGTAATATAATTTTTAACTATTTGCTTCAGTCTACTCAAAGTCCACATAAACACAAAACTTATAAGCCAAGATTTTATTAGGGCTGCATAATCCATTACACTTGCGGCCCAAACTTATGAATAGCTAAGCATAGTTAAATGTTGTACTTAAGAGCTGCCATAATAGCAGACATATTTATATGTATATGTATGTGCACATATTTAACGATCCACACAAAGGGAATCTGGGCCCAAAATGCGCAACCCCAAAAGTGTGCTATCAAATATGTATATGCCGTCTGCTAATGGCGTGACGTTGGCTTTATTTTTCTTTTCTTTCTTTCTTCTTTTTTTTTTTTTTTTTTTTTTTTTTGGCAAGGCGAAAGCTGAAAGCCGAAAATAATTCACATTTGTC